GATTATTAATGCATTATTAAAAAACACAATAAAAAAGAAAAAATACTAACAAAATTGAATCTAAAAAAAGAAATTTCCAAGTCAGTACCAGCATGAGCATGAAAAGAAACCAAGCATGATCTCCTCCTAGAGGGCCTATTTGTTTAAAGACGGATAATACCTCTGCATTTATATCTCATCCTTTTGCACAATGTTTAATGAATGAGATTTAGTTTTAAATTATGAAATTTCTCATAATCATCTTGGGCAAGCTTTTGTTGAGTGAATAAATTATATCCTGATCCTTGCCTTTTAAAACAGAAACAAACCAAGATCTAGCCTCTCTCATATTAATATGCATTAAATAATGTTTTATTTACACTTAATGTGCTCAATATACAACATAAAATTAATATTCAAAATTGGTCATCTGCATTGAATAGGCATTTTATACTCAAACAGCCATTATCTATCTATCTATCTGTCTATCTATCTATCTATATCTATCTATCTATATCTATCTATCTATGAAAATATATATAAGATTCCACCTTATTACCATGGCAAGGTACTATGCCTTTGATCACATGGGGAAAAGTATAGACTGTTAAACTTATGCCAAAATGTTCTTTTTGATGCATTAAATATAGCAATTATAAATGTATATCAGGGACTTGACAAGCTGATTTGTAAGATTCATTTAACCCTGGAAGAGAAGAGTCCCTCCAAACAAGAGAATAATCATTCTCCTTAAAAGAGGAGAAACATTAATAGAGGAACCCAAGATACTATAATTCCAGATTTTTGGGGGGATATAAAACCATTAATAACCTCAGCTCAAAAGGAGTTGGCTCAAATAGGTTAGAATGCACTATGGATAACTTAGTTACTGCTTTGATTGCTAAACTCACGCAAAACTCTGTTAATGCTTTGCTCTGTTTTTGTACACCACTTGTGGGAAACTCAGTACTGTCAGATCCTGGACTTCTACAACCCATTACAATATCTTGACTCACTTGGATGAAATTGTTATATACCTGAAAAAATGTCTCATGGTATTCATTGCTGTGTTAGCAGAATAACTGTTTCCTTACCATCCACATAGTATTTAACAGGTCACAATCCTGCACAATATATTCATAAAAGGTCTATTTCTCTTGATAAAAACTGTGATAATTCAGTGAACATTCTCTCTAAGGCAGAATTTGATGCTCTGACATTTTTCGTAGTGGGTTTCCCTGATTAGCTCTATGGGCTTACAAAACTACAATGAAACTCACCTATGCTATCATAAAAAGTATTAGTCATGCCTCCATGGCTGTTAATATGCTTAAT